TAATGTTTATTTATTTATTTTGAGAAAGAGAGAGAGTGAGCTGCAGGAGGGGCAGAGGGAGAGGAGAGAGAAAATACAAGCAGGCTCCCTGCTGAAAGCATACAGCCCAACTCAGGGTTTGATCCCATGAACCCTGAGATCATGACCTGAGCTGAAATCAGGAGTTGGATGCCCAACTGACTGAACCACCCAGGCACCCCTGAAAGTTGTTTTTTTTAAATATCAACAAAATTGACAAATCTTTAGCTAGGCTAACCAAGAAAAAGAAGACTCAAATAACTAAAATCAGAAATGAAAGAGGGGACATCACTACCAGTCTTACAGTAGTAATAAAGATTTTAAAAGAATACTATGAACAAATGTATGTCAACAAATTAGATAACCTGGATGAAACAGACAAATTTGTAGAAAGGGACAAACTACTGAACTTATTCAAGAAGAAAAAGAAGATAGGGTGCCTGGGTGGCTCAGTCCTTAAGCATCTGCCTTCACCTCAGGTCATGATCCATGGTTCATGAATTAAAGTCCCACATTGGGTGAGCTCGAGCCCTGCTTTGGGTGAACACAAGCCCCACTTCAGTTGAGCCCCACTTCTCTCTCTTTCTCTCTTTCTACCCCTCGTGGGATTCTCTGTCTCTCTGCCCCTTGCTCACTTACTACCCCCGCTCAAAAAAAAAGAAGAAGACTGATGTCTGGGTGGCTCAGTTGGTTCTGCATGTGAACACTCTCTCTCTCAAAATAAATATTTTAAAAAAAAAGAAAAAAGCATATGGACCTACTACAAATACAGAGACTGAATTAACATCAAAAAATTTCCCACAGAGGGGAGCCTGGGTGGCTCAATTGGTTAAGCATCCAACTCTTGGTTTCAGCTCAGGTCCATGATCTCATGGTTTTGTGAGTTCCAGCCCCATAGTCGGGCTCTGCACTGGCAGCACAGAACCTGCTTGGGATTCTTTCTCTCTCCCTCTCTCTCTGCCCCTGCCCCACTCATGCTGTCTCTCTCTCTCTCAAAATAAATAAATAAACTTAAAAATTTTTTTTTTCCTACAAAGAAAAACCTACGTCCAGAAGCCTTCACTGGTGAATTCAACCAAATGTTTGAAGAATTAATTAATCCTTTATAAACTATTACAAAAAATACAAAGAGAGAGGAATACATCCCAAATCATTCTAGGGGGCCAGTATTACCCTATAACTAAAAACAGACAAAAGACATCATAAGAAAACTAAACTATCAATCAATATCCCTTATGGGTATAGATTCTAGCGACATATAAAAACGTATGAAACGTATGAAGAGGATTATATACCTTGATCAAATGGTATTTATCCCAGGAGCTTAACATATGAAAATCAGTGTGATGCACCATATTAATAGGATAAAGGACAAAAGCCACATGATCATTTTAATAGGCGCAGAAAAAGCATTTGACAAAATTCAACATTTTCTTTCTTTTTTTCGTACACTCTTTCATGATAACAGCGCTTAACACCATAGGAATAGAAGCTTCTCAGCTGATAAATACCATCTACCAAAAACCCACAGCTAACATCATCATACTTAATGGTAAACAATTGCATGATCTCCAAATCAAGAAAAAGACAAGTATGTTCACTCTAGTCACTTCTATTCAACCTTAGTAGAGGTTCGAGCCAGGGCACTTAGGTAAGAAAAAGAAATATATAAATCATCCATGCAGATTGGAAATAAATAAAACTATATTCACAGATGAATGATACAATATAGAAAATCCGAAGGGATACACATGCACACACTCTTAGAACAAATAAATGAGTTCAACAAAGTTGCAAAATACAAGATCAGTATACAAAAATCATTGTTTTTCTATACCCTATAATGAACAATCCAAAAATAGAAAACAATTTCATTTACAACATCATCAAAAAAGTATAAAATGCTTAGGAATAAATTTAATGAAAGAAGTGTAAGATGTACATTGAAAACTACAAAACTTCATTTAAGGAAATTAAAGATCTAAATAAATGGGAAGATAGCCTGTGTTCATGGATTGTAAGAGTTAATATTGGAAATATGGTAATACTACTCAAATTGATCAGTAGATTCAACATATCAAATTCCTCACTGCCTTTTTTTTTTAATATGAAATTTATTGTCAAATTGGTTTCCATACAACACCCAGTGCTCATCCCAACAGGTGCCCTCCTCAATACCCATCACTTACCCTCCCATCACCTCACTGCCTTTTTTACAGAAATTAACAAGCTCATCCTAAAATTCATATGGTAATGCAAGGGACCCAGAATAGCCAAAACAGTCTTTAAAAAGAACAAAGTTGGAGAAGTCACACGTCCCAATTCAAAAACTTATTTCAAAGCTATAATAATGAAGATAGCATAGACTAGCATAGGATAGACATGTAGATCAATTGAATAGACTTGAGAGTCTAGAAGTAAGTCTTTATATTTAGGGTCATTTGATTTTTTTGACAAGAGTGCCAAGGCAGGGATGCCTCGCTTGCTCAGTCAGTAGAGCATGTGACTCTTGATCTTGGGGTCCTGAGTTTGAGCCCCACACTGGTTGTAGAAATAACTTTTAAAAAAACAAGGCAAAAAAAAAAAAAAAAAAAAAAAAAAAAAAAAAAAAAAAAAAAAACAAGGCAAGGCAATTTAACAGAACAAAGAATTGTCTTTAATAAATGTGTTGAGACGCCTGGGTGGCTCAGATGCCTGGTTAAGCGTCTGACTCCTGATTTCGGCTCAGGTTATGATGTCACAGCTGGCGAGTTCCAGCCTCTCCCAGGGCTTCCTGGGAGTCTCTCCCTGCCCCTCATGTGCCCCCTTCGAAGCAGTCTCTCCCTCTCTCTTTATGCTTCTCCCCCACTCATGTATGCACCCTCTCTAAACATAAAAAAAAAAAAAGATAAAAATGGGCAAAGGATCTAAATAGGCATTCCTCCAAAGAATATATACAAATGGCTCTAAAAAAAAAAAAAAAGAAGAAGAAGAAGATATACAAATGGCCAATAAGCATGTGAAAAGTTGCTCAGTATCATTATCATTAGTCATTAGGGAAATACAAACGAAACCCACAATGAGATACCACACCACCTCATACCCACTAGGATGGCAATAATCAAAAAGATGGACAATAGCAAGTGTTGATAGGAATGTGGAGAAATTGGAACCCTTGTATATCACTTGTAGGAATGTAAAATTGTACATCCAGTTTGGAAAATAGAATGCCAGATCCTCAGAAAGTTTAAACATAGCACATGACCTAGCCACTTCCAGGTGTGTACCAAGAGAAATCAAAACATACTTCCACATAAAACATGAATGTTCAAACAGCATTATCCATAATACCCCCAGATGGAAACAACCTGCAAGCTGATTAAATGATGAATGGATAACAAAATTGGGAATATCCATACAATGAATACTGAATACTTTTTGGTAATAAAAGGAACCAAGTACTGATACATTCTACAACATTAATGAACCTTGAACATCATGCTAGTCAAAGAAGCCAGACACAAAAGTCCACATATTGTATCATTCCTTTTATATGAAATGTCCAGAATGGCAAATTTATAGAGACAGTGGTTGCTAGAGGTTGGGAAGTAGAAAGAGGCCTGACTAATAATGAGTATGAGGTTTCTTTTGGAGTAATGAAAATTTCTGGAATTAGGTAGTGTTGATGGGTGCACAACTCTGTGAATGTACTTAAAAATCAATAAATTGTATATTTTAAAAGAATGAATTTTGTGATATATGAATTATAGCTCAATAAAGCTGTTTTTAGACAAATAAAAGTTTATACAGAAGAGATAAAGAGGCAGAGGAGTATCTGCCACGGAAGCAGGGATTGGAAACTGGGCTGGGAACCCAAAGGATCCCCATGGGCAGCTCTTGGGAAAGGACCATGACTGACATTCCAGACTCTGCTTTACAGTCCAGCCTGCGATGCTGACTTACTTTGAACTCTTCAGCAAGGCTCTGCCTAAATGGACTGTGTAGTTGCAAAAGACTGGAGACATCCTAAGTGCCCGTGATTAGGGGATATATATAATCCATAAAATACAATAATATGCAGCTTTTGAAAAGAATGACATAGATATATAATGGCCAATATTTATGTGTTACATGCTGTCAAGCACTTTGATGAATACTTCATTTAAATCATAACAGCTCATGATGCATAGTTGAAATTACTAGCCCATTTCAGAAGATAACACCAAGGTACAGAGGTTAAGTACACAGCAAGATAAGATCCCAACCAAGGCATCCTGACTCCAGAGTTCATGCTCTAACACAACATTTCTCTAAGTGTGGCTTGGAAACCCCAAAACCATCAGGGGGTCTGCAAGTTTACAACAACTTTAATAATAATATAAACACATTATTTGCCTTTTTCACTCTCATTCTCTCGTGATTGTACTGTGGAATTTTTGAGAGGCTACCTGATATGCAGCTATATCATCACCATGTTTTAAAATTTCTTGTTTTCATTTCTAATTTGATAAATATTGATAGATACAACTCATATAAACAAAAGCTCTTTGGGGAACTTCAGTAATTTTTAGGAGTATAAAAACTTCAGAGATTGGGGTACCTGGGTGGTGTGCGACTTGATTTTGGCCCTGACAGTGCAAAGCCTGCTTGGGATTCTCTCTCTCCCTTTCTCTCTACCCCTCCTCAAGTCATGCTTTCTCTCTCTTTCAAGATAAGTAAATAAACTTAAACAAACAAACAAAACTTCAGAGATCAAAAAGTCCAAGACTTTGGGTGCCTGGGTGGCTCGGTTGGTTAAGTGTCCAACTTCAGCACAGGTCATGATCTCTCAGTTCATGAGTTTGAGCCCTGAGTCGGGCTCTGCGGACAGCTCGGAGCCTGAAGCCTGCTTCAGATTCTGTCTCCCCCTCTCTCTGCCCCTCCCCCACTCACGCTCTATCTCTTTATCTCAAAAATAAATAAACTTAAAAAAAAAAAAGTCCAGGACTGCCACTCTGGTCTACATTATTATCCTGTACTCATTTCTGTATGTTATAGATCAATCTCTAAGCTAAACTGTTGGTTTTTTAAATTTTTTTAATGTTTATTTATTTTTGAGTGAGAGAGTGTGTGAGAAAGGGGCAGAGAGAGAAGAGGAGAGAGAATCGCAAGCAGGCTCCATGCTATCAGTGTGGAGCCAGATGACCCAGGGCTCAATCTCAGGAACCATGAGATCTTGACCCGAGCTGAAATCAAGAGTTGGTAGCTTAACTGACTGAGCCACCCAGGTGCCCCAAACTGTTGGTTTTTTAAAAAACGATGTATAAAAGTAATTACAATATGCTCCTATTTAGGTTTAGAAAAATGTGGAGACGTGTCTATACACATACTCATGCTATACACAGCATTCACAGGAAACTTCTAATAGTGGTTGTCCGTAGGGTGGGAGATTGAGGGGCAGGGAATGGGGAAGCAGTAAGTTTTTTTAAGTTTGTTTGTTTGTGTTTGAGAGAGCATGAGCTGGGGAGGGGCAGAGAAAGAGCAAGGAGGAGAGAGAATCCCAAGCAGGCTCCACGCTGTGTGGTGCCCCACGCAGGGCTGGAACCCACAAACCATGAGATCATGACCCCAGCCAAAACCAAGAGTTGGATGCTCAACCGAGTGAGCCACCCAGGTGCCCCTATATATTAACTTTTTAAAACAAAGTTTTAAAAGGTAGCCATAAGGAAAATGAGAGAGAGAGAGAGAGAGAGAGAGAGAGAAAGAGAGAGAGAAATAACTAGGGTGATTAGATGTTTCTTCTGGCTTTGCTATCCTGTGATTCAACTCTCAGGGGCTTAGCCTGCACCTTGATTTAAGGATGAGCATGTTTATTCTACCCACTTGCAGGGATTTAGGAAAAATAAAATATTAGATGTAAAAATACTTGGAAAGGCATTACGCTCTTGGTGGGAGGAGGACATTGTTAATCAATTTGAATGTTTCATTAATGTATTCACCAATTTTCTTTTAGGTTTGTCTTGGGTTTGTTTTGGGGCTCACATACCGGAGGATCAAGGTACTATTTTACAGTGAATTGCACAAAAGGGGACTTTGTAGACATACATGTTTCTGATGTGTCTTTTTAGGATCAAGAAATGCAGAAATTACTATGAAATTTTAGGAGTGTCTCGAAATGCCAGTGATGAAGAGCTTAAGAAAGCTTACCGAAAACTTGCCCTGAAATTTCACCCTGACAAGAATTGTGCTCCTGGAGCGACAGATGCTTTCAAAGGTCTGATCATGAATTAATGTTTAATTCTGCCCTTCTTATGATATTTGGTCACAAGTCATTTTCAGCCTCCCCTGTAATTGTTTTATAATGCTATAAACAGGGCCTTTTTTCCTTTCACCTCTTAAATAGTAATAATCAGCATGGCTCCCTCCTGTTTTCATTCACTTATCTTAATTTCTTTTGGAAAAAAAATATTTGGTTTCTCTGTAACAATATGTTTTTATACTTAATACGTAAATAAAAATCTTACTTAACAGCTTCACCCCCAGTGAAGCCATTGATTCAGTCAAGGATTATCAATGGTTGTTAAAACTGCTTGTGATGGGTTTTTGTTGAATAGGACCCATGATGTCAGAGTATCATCCTCCAGAATACTTACTGATGACAAAGCAGAAAAATTCCTTTACATTGGAGATATCTAGCTGTCACCACTTTAACCAAGTGATCCAACTTATTGTCACCAATACTGGCCCCACCTAACATTATGTGCTATGGCACCTCTGTGCTATTCTTGCCAAAATGTTTGACCTGAATCTAATAATGAAGAAATAATTGGGGTGTGTGGGTGGCTCAGTCGGATAGGCGTCTGACTTTGGCTCAGGTCATGATCTCACGGTTTGTGAATTCAAGCCCCACATCGGGCTCTGTGTTGACAGCTCGGAGCCTGGAGCCTGCTTTGGATTCTGTGTTTCCCTCTCCCTCTCTCTCTCTCTCTCTCTCTGCTCCTCCCTCACTCATGCTCTCTCTCTCAAGAATAAATAAACATTAAAAAAATAATAATAATGAGGAAACAATCAAAATATGGGCCATTCTACAAAGAACACTGACCTGCTCTTCAAAAAAGTGAATATAATGAAAAGTAGAAAAGGTGGAGGGACTAATCTAGATGAAAAGAAATGAAAGGGATATAAAAGCAATGCAATACACAGACCTTGCATGAATTGCATGAATTGATGTTAATTTTCTTAGCTATGATAACAGTACTGTGATCATGTAGAAGATTGTTTCAGGAGATACGTGCTGGAATATTTAGGGATGAAGTGCATAATATCTGCAGCCTACTTTCAAATGGTTCAGCAAAAGAAATGTATACATACTATATGTATTTATGTATGTGTGTATGTGTGTATAGAAAGTTGAGGGAAGCAATGTGGCAAAATGCTAACAATTTATGAATCAAGGGAAAGGGTGTTTTTCACTATTTTTTCAACGTTTCTGTTGATTTGGAATTTTTCTTAAGAAAAACATGATAGCTCTGAGAACACTTTAAAAGTCAACATTTATGTCAAAGGACAATCTGCCTTTATTGATGTGCCATTGTGAATCTTATCCTCCCCACAGTTTCTACATGGAAACAAATAGATAACCCACATTGTCTTTACATCTTCATGTAAAGTATCTCATAGATCAATGTCATATCTATGAGATATCTGTCAGATTTCAAGGGATGTAATGTTGAAGCAACTCTAGTTAGCCTTTTTTGGTTTTTTCTCTGCTTAGCTTTTTTATTGCTATAAACATTTAATATAATTCCCTCACTAGAAGAATCATAAAGAAATGTTCCTTCTGACTATGTTTCTGATAGTGTTGACTGAATTAAAGGTAGGGAGTGGGGATGTCTTAAAGATTTGTTTTTCGGGGTGCCTGGGTGGCTCAGTCAGTTGAGCATCCGACTTCAGCTCAGGTCACGATCTCACAGTTCATGGGTTCAAGCCCCATATCAGGCTCTGTGCTGACAGCTTGCTCAGAGCCTGCAGCCTGCTTCAGATTCTGTGTCTCCTTCTCTCTCTCTGCCCCTCCCCCACTCATGCTCTGTCTCTGTCTCTCAAAAATAAATAAATGTTAAAAAAAAAAAGATTTGTTTTTCAAGGTTTCTTTGATTAGTGGTATTGATTTTATGTTTAAGTGAAATAGACAAAATTTGTATGTTTGTGCATAGGGAGATGATGGTCAGCTTGTGTAATCTATTCAGTTTTTGATCCATCACTAAGACATTGGAGATATATTTCTTAATTTCTTTTTTTTTTAAATTTTTTAAATATTTGTTTTTGACAGAGAGAGAGACAGAGAGACAGTGTAAGCAGGGGAGGGGCAAAGAGAGAGGGAGACACAGAATCCAAAGCAGGCTCCAGGCTCTGAGCTGTCAGCACAGCCTGATGCGGGACTCAAACTCACAAGCTGTGAGATCATGACCTGAGCCGAAGTTGGACGCTTAACTGACCAAGCCACCCAGGCGCCCCTATATTTCTTAATTTCTAAAGACCACTTTCTAAAGTAAGCTGAAACGAGACTGTGATTAGTGAGGACTTTGCTTTTATTTATTTACTTTTTAAGTTTATTTATTTTGAGGAAGGAGAGGCAGAGAGAGAGGGAGAGAAAATACCAAGCAGGCTCCATGCTGTGAGCGGAGAGCCTGACTCGGGCTCGATCTCATGAAGTCATGAGATCATGACCTGAGCCAAAATCAAGTCGGACACTTAACCAACTGAGTCACCCAGGTGCCCCAAGGACTTTGCTTTTAGCCAAGCTGTAATTGTACTGACTCTTTTATTCAGGAAACTGTTTATGACTTCACCCTAGAATACAACTGCTTATGTATGAACTGTTTCCAACCATAAAGTAATTGCTCTCAAGTGAAATAAGGACACATTTTTGATGAATGAAAGCAGTAGTTTTTAGCTCATTTTGAGTCCAGTATTGCTTCTAGCCAGAAGCAATATCAAACTATATTGTGGAAAATGTCAAGGGCAAGAACTCTGGTGAACTCTCTAGGCCCAAGCACTTTCCCTAGGCCCCTGTGAAGTCACCCAGCACCCAACAACTCTGGGCTCTTCATTGCTGCTACAGTGATCACCCTCAGCTACAGCAAAGACTGTGTACTCAGGTATTTTTGGGTTTTGATTGCAGCGATAGGAAATGCCTTTGCAGTCCTGAGTAATCCTGACAAGAGACTCCGCTATGATGAATATGGAGATGAACAGGTGACTTTTACTGCCCCTCGAGGCAGACCTTACAGCTATTACAGGGACTTCGAAGCAGACATCACTCCAGAAGAACTATTCAATGTCTTCTTTGGAGGACATTTTCCTACAGGTTAGTATTTCAAAATTATCACTTAAAATTTTATCTCTCTTGGGGCGCCTGGGTGGCGCAGTCGGTTAAGCGTCCGACTTCAGCCAGGTCACTATCTCGCGGTCCGGGAGTTTGAGCCCCGCGTCAGGCTCTGGGCTGATGGCTCAGAGCCTGGAGCCTGTTTCCGATTCTGTGCCTCCCTCTCTCTTTGCCCCTCCCCCATTCATGCTCTGTCTCTCTCTGTCCCAAAAATAAATAAACGTTGAAAAAAAAAAATTTTTTTTTAAATAAAAAAAAAAATTTATCTCTCTCTCTCTATCTCTATATCTCAGCAAGTTCCTGTGTAAGGATCTGAATAGAGAGACTATGGTATGGTGGGAAGAGCAAGAAATTGGAATCAGATGAGCTTGGGTTTGAGGCAGGTCTCCAGCCTCCAACTGTGCATGATTTTAACCAAATCACCTGGTCTCTCTGATCCTATTTCCTCACCTGAGAAATGGGGCAGATAACCTCTGCTTCATAGGGCTGCTGCGAGAATTAGATTTTTAAGTGCTTTATAAATAGCAAGATGCCTATTATCATTATTGCAAAATAGCAGTTATATAAAGATAAAAGTTAGAAAAATACCCCTAGAGAGTTGGAAGTTGGAATAATTAAATGTCCAGGAAGTAAATTGAATTTTATGAGTTGCTATTAAAGATACTAGTGACATAATCTAATATTGGGCAAGGAAGCAGACATGAGCATATCAGACAGGATTCATGGCCCAAATGTTCTTTCTTTACTGGCCTTTTGGGGTTCTCTCACTCACTAGTTACAAAAGACTATTTATTTATTTATTTATTATTTTATTTGAGAGAGAGAGAGAGAGAGCACATGTGAGTGAATGGAGGAAAAGGTCAGAGGGAGAGAGAGAGAATCTTAAGCAGGCTCCACGCCCAGTGCAAAGCCTGATGTGGGGTCACAACCGTGAGATCATGACCTGAGCCAAAATCAAGAGTTAGAAGCTTAACTGACTGAGCCACCCAGATGCCCCACAAAGGACTATGTAAATAAAGGCAGGAGAGCTAAGCACATTCCATTTCTAACTGGTTCACTTGGCTTACCTACTATTTTATTTTTCTACTGACTAAAATTGGACAATACTCTACCCTCAAAGAACCTGGGAGGGAACAAACTGGGAACAAGCTTAGAAAAAGCAAGGAAAGAGTGTTTGCCATATCCTATACTATGTAATTCTTTTTTTTCTTTCTTTTTGAATTTTGCATGTGCAAGCATGATTTTTATTTTATTTTTATTTTATTTTATTATTTTTTTAAAGTAATCTCTACACTCAACGTGGGGCTCAAACTCATGACCCCTAGATCAAGAGTTGCCTGCTCCACCGACTGAGCCAGCCAGGCGCCCTGCTATGTTTTTCTTTCTTTTCCAGGAAACATTCATATGTTTTCAAATGTGACAGATGATAGTCACTATTATCGCCGGCGGCACCGACATGAGAGGATGCAGGCACGGAAGGAAGAAGAAGAAGAAGAAGAAGAAAAGCCTCAGGTACCGAGGGAGAACAGCAGAACTGCTGCTCATAAACACTTGTACTGAGCTGACTTTTATGGTGCATATGATCAGGATTTAGAAGTTCAATGTGAGTTATGTTGATAAAATGTGTTTTAGGAAAGCAGAGGCAGTGGTAGGAAGAGGTGGATAATTGGCTCAAATAGGCCCGAATGGTACCTCCTTCCCCACCCATCCTTTGGTGGCTGTTCCAGGAAATCAGTTCTCCTGTGGGGCTGTCTTCATCAAGATTTTCTTCCCTGCAGAAAATCGGAACCCCCTTCAAAATACGCAGAACTAAAGGGAATTTAAAGTAAGGGATCTAGGGGGTCTCATGAAGCTCAAGGGCAGGACGCACAGCTGGGCCTCATGACAGACAGGAACCAGAAACTAAGGTACAGTCAGGCACCTATACCGCCAGACTATTTGTGGCCAGATTGTCTCCACTTCTACTGCCTCTCTGCATCTGTTTTATTCTCTCTAAGCAGCCTGGCTTGTTCTACTTCCTCTTGCAAACAGCAGCCTCCACTGCCTAAGAGTGTGTGTCCTTCAGATGACTGCCTAGCAGTGAAAAGTGAATGTCAATTCCAAATTCCTAGGAGGGAAAATGTGATTATCCCTGCTGGGGTTAGATGTCCCCAGTCCATTCAGCTGTGGCCAAGGCAACAAAGCTACATAATACTAACATGGCCCTTTGAGGGTCACAGTCTGGGCAGACTCACCCAGCGGTGTCTGTTTCACTGGTCTTAGAAAAGGGGGCTGCATGAGAATTACTGTGTGTCAATATAGGTTTTGGGTGGGTCTCCTTCAGCCTTCTCAGCACAGAGGACAGAGTGTTTGGTACTTCTCAGCAGAAAGTACAGACTTCTAGAAGCCTTGGGCTTTGTGCAGTACATTGCAGTAATTTGTATTTTCTTTGGGAAAACTATCCTATTTTCTGTAAGCTTTATATTAACGAAGACCACTTATACCAAATATTGTTTCCTCTTTTCCAGAATACGTATTCTGCATTTATTCAGTTACTTCCAGTTCTGGTGATTGTGATTATATCTGTTATTACTCAGCTGCTAGCTGCTAATCCCCCATATAGTCTATTCTATAAATCGTAAGTCAAATATTTTTAAATCTTTCTTAACAACAATTTGGAGGGTGAAAGATTTGAACGTTTTGCTGGTACGATGCTAACATTTCATTTCCCCTTTGTAGAAAACACTGATTTTGTGTTTAAAGGAACAGCTGGATAGTAAAGAGCAGAGACTCAAAAATACTATAGGCAGTTTCCTGTGTGCTCAGGACATGGATTGTTTTGTTTTACAGCGACATCATCTGATCAGCCGCAGAACAGCAGCAACTGGTTTCTGAAAGATTAGTAGACTAACTTCAGTTTCAGATTAAATTCTTGTCATACCATGTGAGATTTAGAAAGGACCGAATTGAGCTTGTGATTGAATCGCTGGACCCCTCTGGGTCAGGAAAAAAGTATCTGAGATCTAGTGACTATTTTCTATTTAAGTAATTGCAAGAATAGGACATTTATTCATGACGAGGCTACAAAGTCAAACCATAGTATCACATTTCTTTGCTTTTACTGAAAATATAGAAATTCATTGTAATGTTTGTATTGCATGCAAATTATGAGCTCAGATAGGAATTTTTTGTTTCTTCAATTAATTATTTCAACTAATTCAGCTTTCAAAGTTTGGTCCCCAGACCAGCATCATCAACATCAACTGCCAGCTTGTTAGAAATGCAAACTCTTAAGCTTCACTCCATGTATACTGAATCAGAAACTCTGAGGATGAGAACTAGCAATCTGAGTTTTAATAAGCCCTCCAAATAACTCTGGTCCATACTAACGTTAGAGAATCACTGGATTAATTATTTTAAGTTAAATGAGAAATGAGTCATTACTCATTATTATAGTTTAGCAGACAAAAACCTTACAAAATGGGGGCACCTTGTTGGGTCAGTAGAGCATTAGATTCTTGATCTCGGGGTTATGAGTTCGAGCCCCAAATTGAGTTTAGAGGTTACTTAAAATATTTTATTATTATTTTTTTTTAACATTTATCCATTTTTTGAGAGACAGAGACAGAGCATGGGCAGGGAAGGGACAAAGAGAGAAAGGGAGACGCAAAATCCAAAGCAGGCTCCAGGCTTCAGCACAGAGCCCAATGTGAGGCTCGAACCCACGAACCGTGAGCCAAAGTCGGACGCTTAACCGACTGAGCCACCCAGATGTCCCTTAAAATAAAATCTCTAAAAAAATTTTTTTAAAAACTTACAAAATATGGAAGCCCTGGGGCATAATGGGGAAAAAAAAGTCTTTTCTGGTGATCACTGTAGAATGAAGACTGTATTCTAGATCAGTATCTTCATTTTACATAAAGGAAAGCTGAGAATCAGAGAGAAGTTATTACTATCAGGTCACACTGGCCTGATTCCCTCTATTTTCTGACTTCCCATGTTCCCATTTGCTATTGCTACCTCCTTTCTTGTGCAGCTACTGCGGCAGGGAGGAACTTGCCCTGCTAACACCTTCCCAGATGGAGGTGAGAGAAGTCATGGCCTAAACACTGAGACATTCAGCAAGATCCTTAAGTAGAGAGATGAAAGGAGGAAGCTGAGAAAATGTCAAATATACCTCAGTCGAGATGGAATTTGTCTAGGTTGAGTAAAACTAGCTTGGATTTTGCATATTGCTATCACATTGTTTTAACTTGAATTTGAGATCCCTTCTATACTTCCTTATGGTTAGTATTTAGTTAACCCAGACCTGCTGATGTTTCTGAGCACCATATGCCATTGGACAGATCAGACCCACAGAGAGTTAGTGCAAAAGCATTACTAAAATCTTTGTCTGATATTTTTGCAGTTCTCACTTAGCAGCTATGTGTGAAGTACTTTTTACATGTCCTAAAAATTGATACTAGGTTGGTTCTAAGCTATTTGGTTATGTGTGAATAGTTTACTGTAACAATCAGTTCATTCAACCAACATTTACCAATAGCCCACTCTGTGCCAAGTACCATGCTAGGTCCTGCACAATATACAAAATTTTTTTAAACATTCAGCGTTTAACTTTTAGCACAGAAAGCAATATAAGAGAGGTAAATCCTTTAAGAGAATAAAGTAACCATACCAAAGCTGAATTCACAGTATGACATGCTCATATAATGATGACATTACAGTCATTACTTTGCTAGGGAAATTATAAATGTTAGGTGTATTAGACATTGACACTTGTGTCTGCCCTATGAAAATGTGATTATGGTTATGACATCTATGCAGCCAGTGCTAAGAGTGATATTGCCAAATATAAAAAGCTTACCCGAGACTCTCTCTCCTTGTCTCAGGACCTTGGGCTACACCATCTCTAGAGAAACACAGAACCTGCAGGTGCCTTACTTTGTGGATAAAAACTTTGAGAAGGCCTACAGAGGAGCCTCTCTACGGGACCTGGAGAAGACGATAGAGAAGGATTACATTGATTACATCCAGACAAGTTGTTGGAAGGAGAAACAACAAAGTAAGATGTTCTAGAAGGGGCTTTCACTGGTGGTCGTACTTCCAACCCAAGGCATTCCCAGCTTCTGGATCCATTCTTTCTCCTTGTTTGAGTCATACCTGTTTATGTGGACAGAGGCCCATTCAGGATACTACAAAAAAGTGAAGTTAATTGACAGGATCCATGTGGCCAGGACTTGGAAACCTTAGGAACTTAGTCAGTCAGCCCTAGTTGCCTATCTGTGTGTCTCTGAGTGTCCACCTCTCTCTGTTCATCTGCCCGCCTCTCCTCTCTGCCAGCTGCCTGCCTTTGCTTCTTCAAGCTTTCCTTCTTCATAACCTGGCTTTGCCCTGGTTGGCTTTGGTTGCTGCCCTCCTCATCACTCTCCCAGTTTCCACAGCCCCACTAGTTATTGGCCCCTTTCTACATCACAAGCTTCCTCCATAAGTTCTCAGTCCTAGCTCGATTGGTCCACTTTCCTAATTCCACACTCCCTACAGGGAAATCTGATTGATCCAGACCAAGTTTTTGAGCCAGACCAAAAGCCAGTTCTAGTTGGCTGTGGCCACATAGATCAAAATTGACCCCTCCTGGGTCTGCCCCTTCAGTAAGGGTGCGTTTGAGCAGGCCTTGAACTCTTTTCCCTCTCTGGAGACAGTGGGGGTAAAAGGGTCTGCCAGGTGGCTTCCAGTTCCAACCGAGTGTTAATGGGGAGTGCTGGTAGCAGGGGTAGTCCTGCCTCTCAGCCAACAGGTTCACTTTTCATCCCGTTTGAATTCCACAGATACACATACACAATCATGTGCACACCACACACATGCATACCTTAATACCCGTATCTTATAAAAACTTGGCTTTGGTTAATTTTTAAAAAGCAAACTAACTCATTTTTTAAAACAGTATTACTGGGTATTATTAAATGTCTAACAGTGCCTGATGAAAGTAGCTCTTCTGTCACAGTGCTGCTAAGCCCTTGCTGACCCATCATGCATCCCCACCCTACCCCCAAGTTAATCTCTCCTTCCTGTGTGTTCTTAAAACACTTTGTTCATCCTGCTAACACAGTACTGTCTTCAGTGTTAGTGTTCTGTAGGTAAATGTCTATCTCACTGTTGGACTGTGGGTTGTCTGAGGATAAGAGCCATGGCTTACCAATCTCGTGTTCCAGGCCCCTGGCATGGTCCTTGATTCAGAACAGGTGCCCAACCAATAGCTTTTGAAGAGAGGATTCTCAGGACTGGAAAAAACGAAAATGTTTGTGGATTAAGAATCACAGACGGGGGTTAATGTCCTTACCCTGGCCTTTAGGGACCTTGTGTCTGCCCTCTATTTCAGTAGGGCAGAGCCCACCTGAACCCTCACGTGCACTAGGAGCTTGATAGGCAATTACCATGGGATGAAAGGGTAAATTAAGCAGGGGGAAGTTGCTTCAAAAATTTATTGAAAAATACTGAAAAACCTGAGGGGTCAGGAATTACCCTACCTCATGTCAAACTAGGTGTTGCAAGTTTCAAAGATCAGGAAAGAATTTTGGAGCAAGAAAAGGCTTTTGACAGAAAGGCATTTAAAACATGGATCTAAGTCAGGTGAAGGCCACAGTGTGTGTCCTAAAAGTCCCCATTGTACTGTGCCCTGGAGGGTTTTGAATTTGTTGCTTTGCACAAGAACTGGATGAAAACCTGTATTTCACATTCGTCAAACACACACCCACCCACGTACACTCCCCAGCTGGATCTTATGGTAAGGATTACATCCAAGGTCGTTTTTTGGCTTATCTCCCCATCTCCCTGAGGCTAGCTTCAGGGCTTTGGTCCTCTCTGGGTATAAATAAGAATCCAGTGGGTAAGCATGATGCATGTACCCACAAGTTCCGAACAGGGGGTGATCAGCACACACCCTTTAAAAGTCTATTTCTGGCATTTAAGGATGGTGGCTGTCCAGAGTCTCCGCACAACCCAAATGCCATCTGAGAATGAACGGCATCTGTCCTCCGGATCCAGCAGCAAGTGCAGCCAACAAGGTTAAATTTAGCACTTGGAGGTTGTAAAAATAAACCCACTTGAGAACAAAGTTCACTCTTGGCAACATACCGAATGGAAACTGTTTTTAGCAAAGTTAGCCATTGTCTTTTTTGTCTTTTTAAATCTTTTGTTCATCTCTTTTCTCTGTTTTGCCTTAGAATGCTTAATCTGAGTGAATTTCTATGAGTAATCCCTTACGATGAACACTGATTGCCCTGTTTACTCCTTCACAGCTGCATCTAGATAATAAACCCAATGCCAGGGGAAGTGGCCATGCCACTGGGGTGATGGGACAAAAGTAACAGGCAGGATCTGCCTCCCGGCCTGACAGAGCTGAGCTGAGATCCTGGCCCTGCCTGGCAGAGGAGCATTTCTCTCCATGCCCTGGAGCAGGGTAGCACAGTGGCTAGAAGCTTAGGCTTTGAAATGGGGATGAAATGCACTTCCTCCTAGAGACGCTGTATGGGTTATAGAAGATGGTATGGGTATAATGCTTAGCATGGTATCTGGCACATATTAAATACCCGGTTCCTGATGGAGTCCAGGCCTTGCATAGTCTTGCTAGCCTGGATGCAGAACTGTCTCATGTGGCTGGATCCTGAGGATGGTTGGGATCCATTGTGGTCTTCCTGACCACATGAGAGCAGAGTGTTCTTGGGAGAGGTTCTGGGACGTGCTTCTGAAGCAATTTTCCTGAGTCAGTTTCCCTGGAAGCCTCAATACTCTGTCCTTCTATCACAGGTCAAGGGAAACATTTTGTGAAGAAAAGCTGTTCTCTTGATGCCCCTCCTACAGATTTTTTTTTTTTTACTTAGAAGTTACTGAATTTTGACAAAGTATGTCAAAAGTAACATATTAGTTGAATTGACCTTTTACTCATTGAAGGACAAAAGCATTCACTGGCAGTTTGGAGAGAAGTTTCTCTAAGCCTAGTAATGGGCATTTGGGACTGGTTCCTTGAAACACTGACATTGCTGCAAAGTCATTGCTTTGGAGCAGGGGTCTCAACCTCTGGAGCATTGAAACTTGGTTTTAATGAACCTTATGAAAAGCTGTGTGATAGTTTGAGAAAAGCATTCGTATATGTACAGTTATCCTTTATCAGCCTCTTAGAGTGGGCTTCAGTGTAGAAAATACTAAGAATCATGAGACCTTAGTGTTTTGTAGAGTGAGATTCCAGGCAATAAGGCATTTAGGTAAGCTCAGCAAGCAAAAAACGTAAGGAAATCATTGCAAGGAAAAACAAAGCCACAGAAATCTGTTCCGTATACTGGCATAGCTGTGACTCCAGAGGACCAAAGGCATAGACTCATTTTACAGAGTCCTCCTGAACAGGTTTCCCACATGCCAGAGAAGCCAGAGAAATGGAGTTAGTGCAGTGGGCTGGCCTCAGGAGCGGAGGGCTCTCATTTGGGTGTGGCATACGTTTTCCAGAGAGCCTGCGAGCATGACTGTGCCAAGGCAAGCTCCTACTAGCAGGCAGTGCGGGCACCCTCGCCAAGGGGTGAGAGCGCATTGTTCTTGGGCCCAGGAGGCACACTGCTTGCCAAGCAACTGCTGGGCTAGGGCCCAGGCTCTGAGCCTCCATTGTAGAGGGAGGGTTTTCATGCGTGGCCACCCCTCACCCTGGAGTCCTGCACTTAATCTGCACTTTGGGCCTTACTTGGTGTAAATAGAATCATTGTGAGCAGAAATGCCAAACAGTGTTTTGTGTTGATAGAAACTTATTCAGAAACCAATGCCCATTGTTCCCCCTGGCTAAGTATTAATTCCTATTTCTAGTCAGTTTGCTGATTAATCAGAGACAGGTGCCTCTCGTTCCACCAAGAAAAACAAAATCTGTTGGCAGGATGATTCAGAATGGATAGACATATTTCAAAATGGTTAAAATAGCATTTTCACAAGTATGGTCCTTTAAACACGGAGTAGCTGCCTGCTGTCGGAGGCTTTCAGAAGCCACACGGCCCATCCAAGCGTTCCATCCTGTTAATACACAACACGTCTCTGGGGGTGCTTTTCAGGCTTTCCTTCCTAAGAACGTCTCTGAAACTTGACAAAGGAATGAAAAATAGAGGCAGCCAAACCACCGTTGAGTCGGGAAAGACAGCGGAGATTATATTCTGGTTAAAAATAGAATGACCTTCTCCACCATGAAGAGAAAATGAAATTCATTTAGTCAAGGAGCCAAAGGTCACTGGATCCAGATGATTTCACTTTTAAGAGCCCAGCTGCCTTTGGCCTTTGAGTTAGAGACCCCACATGTGGTGAGGGAATGAAGAAAGCCGCCAGCAACTTGGCCTTCTATAGAAGGCATACCCACTGGAGGGAGGCTCTGTGTCAGTTAGCATGAGTTATGAGTTATGATCCAGCAATGCAGGGGACAGAATGGAGCAGCTGTCTTTGTTTCAGATGACAGGAACGGGCGATTGGCCTCCATTCTCTCCCGACTGCCATCTGAATGCCATTCGTAGGAAGGCCACGAAACGGAGTCTCCTCTTACTGCACACGTGCATGTTTCCTAAGTCTGGTGCCAAATGTTCTATTGATAAGAACTAAGTCCGGCGCTTTTATAATTGAGCACGGATACTGTAGGACTCTGGGACCACAGGTGTCCTTTAATCCTTAGCACCTGGTGTAGTATAGCTGCTGGATTCAGGTTTCTTGAATAAATGAGTAAGCGTTTCCTAAATTTAATTAAAAGAAAAAGCATGAAATAAAGTAAAAGGGGCTTTGACTCCAGAAATATTGAAATGAAACAAAGGAGGTTAACTCTCTTGATGAACTGTTACCTCTTTTATCTTTCAGAGTCGGAATTGACAAATTTGGCAGGATTATACAGAGATGAACGATTGAAACAGAAGGCAGAGTCACTGAAACTTGAAAACTGTGAAAAACTTTCCAAACTTATCGGCCTACGCAGAGGTGGCTGAGAGGATGATGGCCCTACACAGGGTCGGGGTTTTGCTACTTGTTACTATTTATGTTCCTAATTCCATTTTATAATACAAAATTAAGAAATGATGAACATTTTACAACTTGCTAACTTTGGTGGGCAGAGTTGAAGGCACTTGAGCATGGAGCCAGACTTGTCATCGCAGAATCTTTCCTGGGGATTGGCTCCAGGGGCCATGAACAGTTCATCTAAGTTGAATTAACGGCAGAGCGTTTGATGTAGTCCCCTTGCTCCGTGCCTACCCTGCCTCTAGGATTGGGATTCAGGCATCCCAGAGCAGATCTACATATTCTTCCTCCTTCCCTTCTTCAGTTAAATCTCAATGCCCAGCCATTCCTAGGCGTAGCCAAAGCAGCTTAATATTAGTTGTTTACAGTGTGCACGAAGAATGATCCCTCTCCCCTCATGAAAGTCATCATGTCCCCTAGCATTCCGCCCTTGGAACATGGGCCCACCATGCTTGCATTTTCTAAGGGGAATGTGGAGAGATGTCAGCTACTACGGACAATAGTTTTCCCATTTGCCTATCTCTGTTCAAAGTTACTAGCATTAGCAAACTGCCTGATTTGAGTTTCTTTTACTTCCTTAACCCTTTCTCTTGTCGAGGGTCCAGAAAGTAAAAGCTATTGGGTGAAACAGTTCCATGGACAACTCAGCAGCAGAGAGCAGGGGTACGGAGATAAAGGTAAAAATGCAAGACTGAGTTTCCTCTTGCAGCATGACATTTGACCAGAGTCCCTCCACCCCAGAGAAGTCAGACCTAAGAATAGGCATTGCCAGCCAACCAGGATGGTTGCTCAAGCCTAGATCTAGAAGGGAAAGACCCTGTTTCTGTGGCTTTGGAGGTCTGGTATTGGTCCCAAGCAGTCACTGTGTTTAACCCAATGCCCTACATTTTGTTATATGAGATACTTTTCCATGTAGTCAACATTTATTGAGTGCCTGGTATGAAGCAGGGGCTCCCACATATAGTTTCTTACTTTAGCCTCCTCATAATGCTGTGAAGGAGACATGTTACCCTCCCCCCGCCCCCTCCTTTTCTTTATGAAAGAGACTGTTAGCCCAGAGAGGATGAATGGTTGACCCAGTCATACAATTGGTAGTGGCAGAGCTAGGCTGATTATCAAGAAGGAAGTGTGAGATCATTCCCATTTGTCTGGTGATTCTAGCCAGATTGTTAAGGCATAATCTTAGGATGCCCTGGTCCCCCCTGACACTGTAACCCTGTATCCTTTTTATGGCAGTCCTGCATTCATTCAGGACACTTCTTCCTTGGTCTTTAGAAACAAGACCCTCTCTAAAATAATTCTGTATACAAAGCAGAATAGCCACTCAAAGGCAGGTAGCCACTCCCACTGATGACAAGGAAGAAGTAAGCTGTTTCCTTGGCCTTGTGGTTCTGGGCCCTCTTGTCCCTCTTGGGCCCTCTGGGCCCTCTTGGCCCTCCAAACCCCACTGGAACATGGGATCCCTTAGCCTGGCCAAGGTGAGCTGCCAGGATTGAACCGCCTAGATCATTATGAATCAGAACCTGGAAAATCAGTAGGTGACTGTAGTCTGGACTCCAGGATGAAAGAAAAGTTCCCTTATTAAAACTGATTTCCAAAGTAGAGTTTCTCCTTTCAGATTCATAGCCATAATTTAGGCAGATGTGTCTAGTATGGTTCAACATGGACATTCCACAGGGTCAGGAGATGGGTCTAGAGGTGAAGAGTGGATCTTTGGTGGCTGGTAGGGGGCAACTGCTCAGCTGTGGGAGGGAGCAGTTCTAGAAACGCCAGATTTTTCTGCCCAACTAGATCTATCTTTCTGGTTTGGGGGACTTCCTTGATCCTTTCTGAGTAATTGAGGGGATTTATACTATACAATATGCCTGTGAGCCAAACAGGCCGATGGAAAGTTTTCCTATACACATGAAAATCAAAGCTCTTCTCTCCCCAACTCCAATCTCTGCTAGAAAATGGGCCATAATTAAATTGACTTGACATAGATTTCATGGCAGAGATGAATTATCTGTGATGATACTAAATAGAGGCAAAACTAACTCCATTAAATGTCAGGTCTCTTGTCTGTTTTTAAAGCACTGATGGTAGTGTTGTGTTTATTACCTAATAGACTACAACACTCACATCTGGCTTTCCTCAGTAGAACAGTATTTGCCTTTTGCTGAAGAATAGTTTAATCTACTTCGTATGGTCCAAAATATGGCTAAACTATGACTTCCTGGGTTCTATTTTAGATGGGTTGTCCACATGGTGGTAAAATAAGCGTCTTCCTCTTGCCTCCATCTTCTGGAAGGTTTCCTGATCACATATAAACTCTTTAGGTAAGGCTTATTCTTGCTGTCTTGGCGTGCAGCTCTACATGTTTCTGTGAGCATTAATGCAGAATGGGGATGTGTGAGGTGGGGAAGTGGGGCAAAGCAGGGCTCGTGGCTTAAGCAGAAGGTGAAGCTCCCATTCATGAGAATGAAAGTGCTCTTCACGCTGCCTGATCAGCAGTGAGGAGGGGAGGGTGAAAACCCTTCTCACACAGAGGACACTGCAACTTCAAGGAATCCATGTCCCCAGATTAGCAACCCTGAGGTTCATCTGCTCAAACCAGAAAACTTCTGAATTTCCTTGATCAGCTCCAGGCCTCACAACTTGGGACAAGTGACTGGTAAGAAAATGCCACTGCTATGCTTTCTGTTGGAAACTGTTAGAAATTACACTGAACTCCAAACCCCACTGGAACATGGGATCCCGCAGCCTGGCCAAGCCTTGCATTGTTCTCATTTTCATCCTCATGCTCAGGACTGACTTTGTGAGGAGGCATTGTTGGGATTCCGGAAGCTTTCTGTTACAACTGGCCACACCTGCAAGTTCATTGTCTCTGCATGCCCTGTTCCTCACAGAAGCTAGCTCTTAATTAGTATTTATTTTGGACTTATTTATGGTATAAGCTTAGTGCTCTAATATATTTATTTTGGGGAAGGGCCAAGTTACTCTACGTCCTATGTTTGAGCCTGCATTGTTGATACCTCGTGCAGTGACCACCACGTAACTATATACCCATGTGTTCGATATTGACGACGTCACTTGCATCACACTCAGTATTGGGAATTAAAGATGTGAATGTTCTGTGACCAGAGCCAGGTTTGACAGAGGTGGAATCAGCTCCTGGTGGAATACGAATCTTGAGAACTCTGGTCACCTGATCCACTGCATCTGGATTGAGTGTATTTTAACGGAGAAAGAAATTAAACGATTTTATATAAAAAGAATGGCTCTATATTTTTCCTTTGTTCTTTTACCCTTGTCCATGGCACCCTTAGGCACCACAGAATGCTGGACTCCCTTGGAGCCAGTTGGACTAGAGAAGGCTTAGTGTCTCTCCTCTGCTACAGTCTTCCTCATCCATCAGTGGAATTATTGATGTTTAGAACAATAGATAACATTGGTGGCATCACCAATTCTGTATTTCTTGTCTATCAGATGCTAGCAGCTGCAGGATATTATAGCCTACCTACAGAGCTAAACTACTTAGCCCCCAAATCAGGTGTTATCCCAGTTCCCTAATGGCCTTGTTCCCAACGACCCATATTTAGGAAAGTCTTGGTTTAAAAAATACAGTACAGGGGCTCCTGGGTGGCTCAGTCAGTTAAGCGTCCAACTTCGGCTCAGGTCATGATTTCACGTCTAGTGGGTTCGAGCCCTGCATTGGGCTCC